TGAGAGTATTTATAGAGATTACTTGATATATCTCTTCTCATCCACTTTAGAAACTACATGAACTTATTTATAAGGACCATTATTGGCGGAAGGTCCCTAAAGTTGGGATTATTCTGAAATAATCAATGGTTGAGATTATTATTAGCGGACCGCCAATAGTTGAGATTATTACTATCAATTTTTTCTTGTCTAAACAAGTAAATAAAATTTGATGCATTTGGAATGCAGAATTGAGAATAATAATTCAAAAGTTTATACGGATTTAAAAACTCTTTGTAATAATTCATGAGTATAAATTTTGTGAGCGTCATTAGTATATTACTATTTACTCCGTATATTTAAAAGGCAACCTTGTTAAGTAAGAAGTCTCAGTGTGTATGCGCTGAAGAACTCACACTATAAAAAGGTTGCGGTTATAGCTCAGTTTAATACACTCCCGATTAATTGATTGGAGTTGGAAAATGGTTTTATAAATTAATATTATGATTATTTTGGAGTTAATATGTAAGGGATTCAAGTCTCTATTTTAATAGGAGTAAGTTTTAACATATTGTACTTCACGTGAACGTTTCCATATATTTTTTTGTAGAAAACTATTTTGAAATGAATGAGAAATTATCCACGAAAAAGATAAACGTGAAATTATATCTCACACGCACGCACAACCGCCACCGTTCTATTGGTCGGGTCGGGTTTCAGGTTAGTGTCTTAAACCGACCGCCCGAGCACATGGATTAAAGATAATTCTATTTAATTTGATTGCTCTCAATTTTAGATAAAGATTGGTAACACACATAGCCTTTTGGTTTTTATATGCTACAGCCTATTTAATTTGTTTGGTCTCAATTTTATATGCAGAATTTATTCTAACAATTGATTGGTTTCACGGGCTTGGTGATGGGATGCTTTATTTTTTTGGACAATTCTTTATAACCTACTCCCTCCGTCTCCGAAAGAAGTTCCCAGTTACTATTCATTGGTCAACTTGAATCACTCCTAATCCTTTACTTTATATATCAAATTTTTATCAAACTTAAATTTTCTTGATCAGGCTTTGTAGCGGTTTTAATGTAATTTCTGAATATGTAAATTTTATTTACTATTAATAATCCAGGTGTGAACAGGGATTGAGTTGCTTTATCGTCAGTCAAACATCGTAAACCGAACGGGAACTTCTTTCGGGGACAGAGGGAGTATATAGTATCTGCTCAATGTTAATTGCCAACATTCTTGAACTGGGATGGGATTCGAACATGTGACCTCTTCTTTGAAAGTATCACAGTGATGCCATCAGACCATAAGGTACTTGGCAGATGCTTTATTTTTCTCTTCATTTTGTATTTATTTAATTTTCACATTTAATTCTTATCAGTACTAATTTAATCATAAATGTAGATATTTGAATGTGTATATGGAGGTGACTATAACAAATATTGATGAATGTGCGTATGAGGGTTTTTCTAAAATACGTAGTACTACTTACTAGTGAAATAAAATTTATTGATAAAAATTTGATTGAAGTTAGTATGAGTCATCATCATACTCACTTAAGTGTGAAAGCGGGAAAAAAATACTCCGTATTCCGTAGTCACTAAAAATTACTACTATTCACTACATTTGTGAGATTACATTTTATCTATCATCTTTATTTTAGTTATAAATAGGAAGTATATCATTTCAAAATATATTACTATAATAAAAGTTACAAGGAAACATGTTCTTATTTGTAGCGTTCATATGTTCAAAAAAATGTGTTCCTATTTGACTGGTGCACTAACTATGTGGTGTTTAATTTGCAGCAATGATTTGGTTATATTTTTGTCAATGCGTTCAATTTTAGTAATATGCTAATAAAAGTAAATAAGGATATTTTTAATTGAACTAATTCCTGTTCCAAATCTAACCAGATTAGATCAATCAGAATTCAACATAAAAAGATTAGACCGGATTTAACTTTGAAAACCGTAAAATACACATAGAGGGATATAACATACACAAAAAAAATCAGGTCCAGCCCTCCCCGGTCCAGCCGCCGTCCGAACTCCGCCGTTTGGGGCGGTTTCCGGTGGAATTTTTTGCTGAAATTTTTTGAGCAGATTCTTCATCAAGTCTAGTTTGTCCATACCAAATTTCAGCTCAAAATTCGACCGGGAAGGCATTCAAATCATTTTTTAAAGTTGACTGCATTTTTATATGTATATTTTGGCGCAGTCAACTTCAAAAAATGATTTGAATGCCTTCCCGGTCGAATTTTGAGCTGAAATTTGGTATGAACAAACTAGACTTGATGAAGAACATGCTCAAAAAAATTCATCAAAAAATTCCACCGGGAACCGCCCCAAACGGCGGAGTTTGGACGGCGCCTCCCGTCCCTCCGGCTGGACCTGATCACTTCTCATAACATACATATATCATGATATCATATCACACCGGACTTAAACATATCAAACTAAACCAGACTCCAATACCTTTTTACTCTAACGAGCCACCATCATGCATATTAGTTGTAATGATATTATGATAATATACAAAAAAAATGTTAGAGTTCATATGGGACACATGGGTTCTTACAATAGGAACTAGGAAGTGAGTTAAAATATGATTGGAATATGATATGGACAGTACAGGCAACTAATATTCAGTATTTTGTGAAGGTTTCTACAGAATTGAAACCCCACCTTTTTTTGCACTTCATCAATAAGCATATATACCAGTATACTACGAGATGGCCCTTTAGTGAACTCCGACAGTGGGGTACAGATTAAACAAAGCCGCCATATGGAGGTTTGGTAATAAGTTTGATCAGATTCACTACTAAGTAAAATACTATTTTCCACGATACAACAATTTAGTAACTTCGTCAATATTAATCACATGTTCTGCTAAATTGACACATTTAAATGGCTAAATACAAAACCCCTCCCTTCATAAAATTCGACAGATCGAGTCATTTTAGATGGATAACCCTTGTCCAACTATTCTAACTGTTTTCAAGTATTTTCGTTTGCCCTTCTTGGTGAAAGTTTTTGACAAGTTCGGTCAAGAATCAATTTGAGGGCTCCCCAGCTTCATGAAAGCCTATGAATTGCAATTCAATTCCAAAAGATTCTCAAGATAAAAGCCTGTATAGCATATATTTCTACACATCAGATATATATACAGTATTAGCCTTCCTAAATAGTAGTAGCAGAATAAAAGTTGGATATATAAGTAAAAGAATAAAAACAATTTAAACTGATCAGATAAAAAGTAGACAAAAACCTTACTCTGGGTCGAAGGTAGTATAAAAAAGACTCAAGCAGTTTAAGTTAAAAGAGTACTCATGAGTCATGATAAGGAAATAACTTGAACCCAATAAATATACTTTGTATAAAATTTGATTCAAATAAAAAGTACATGATAAGGGAATATCTTACATCCAATAAATATACTCTGTATAAAATTTGATTCAAATAAAAAGTACTCTCTAAATGATAATGAAAACTAATCTTGGTCATTAGTTTGATAAAATAGAAGGATCTAGTCAAATTTTAAGACTAAAAACAAAGGCATTACTGTGAATAAGTTAAAAAATACGGAGTTAACTTGTATATCATTGGGGTCATTTGACTATAGGAAAGACATTGATTTTCAGAAAAACTAATCAATAAAACTTATAGTGCATAAAAAATTAGTGAGATTTCATATATAGAGTCAAAGAACTTTTTTTATGTTTCAGTACCACAAATAGTATAAGTCAATATTAATAGTTTGTACTTTTTCTATCATTATCTTCGTAATTCATGTGAGGTAAAACTGCAACACTGATGTGAAGATTCAATGAGATATGACAATACATATTTATAAGGGAATTAGTGACACAAGTTTGGCACTTTTGTTCTACTTGTATCTATCTCCGATTGTATGTGAAGCTAAGAAGAATAATGCCAAATACTCATAGACTGTATTCTAGCTATTTACTTTTAACATGAGGGTAGTACCATTTGCAGCATCATGATCCAAAGCAGCGTCGCCATATTCAACTTGTGGAACAGCACCACCATATAAAGCATGCCGGCTATATTTGCTTCTTTAGCAGCATACAGAGCAGAGTAACATGGTGTAGGTTACACGGTCACACACTCACACCTGTAGTAGGATTCACATAAATTCGTAAATGAATCAGATCATCAACTTTAGGGAGAACTCAGGACCCATCATCCCAGAAAGAATTGGAGATAACCGAATTGCAAACCATAACATTAGTACCAATCCAGGAAAAACCCAAAACCCTAATTTCTTCGCCTTTCGTTTCTTCTTATCAGGAAAACCCCAAAACCCTAATCTCAATGCGGACCCCGAATCCAATTTTGGGGAAAGTGAGTGCCGGCGCTTGATGGCGGAGAGCCTAGCTAGAGTTCTCCTCTGGATGCTCTCTGGCATTAGATCTAAGGTAGCGTGCATACTGTCAATGCAAATTTCGCAGCTGCAATTGGAGTCTCTTCGGCAGTTGCTGGATTCCGTGGGGTTGGATGTCGATTTGGACGAAGAGATGGATGTTGTTTTCATGATTTTTTTTTCTCTAAATCTGAAGCAGCGGGGATCTCAGCGGTCTCGGTTTCTGCCTCTTCGATTCTCTGCTCAGTTTTTGGCGGAGAAGATGATGTCTGAGTGTTCAAGTTGAAACTAACAGTCTGATTAAGCTATGAAACCGATTTACGGAATTAGGTTAATTTCATCATACTAGTATATATATATGCGCTGAGATTCTGCAACTTTTATTTATTTTTCGTTTTAAGTTTGAGCCTGTTTCCACTGTGTTTTAAGAAGCTTTTTGACGATAAAAAAAAAAGAAGCTTTTTGGATATAAAGGTTAAAGTCGATCAGTTTTGGTATTGCCCCATAAAAGAATCTCAGTTTTCATCAATGCATGTGATCCCTGAATAAATTCTCATCTCCTTATTTAATACTAGTAAATAAATTTATGTCAATTTACTTATTATCCTTGAATAATAATGATGATACAGTATAAAACAATAAACTATACAGTAAAATTTATCTTTCCATAATATAGCATTTTAGTAAGTCGAAAGAAAAAATACCGAGTATTTCTTTAAAAATGTGTGCAATTCAATGTGGGAAAATTAAATAGTGGCTGAGAAGCACTAAGGGCTCGTTTGATAGTTTATACCTTAAATCTTTGGATGCGAAGTGATTGCATGCAAAGTATAGGGAAACAATCATTTTGCATTGTAGAATAAATTACATTGTTTGACTAAATGTGTAATTTATTTTAAAATTGCATGCAAAGTCATTGCAGTGCTTCATAAAAGGCATGCAAAGTATTTTACCCCCAGGTAAAATACTTTACATGATACAATGCGAAATGTTTTTAAAAAATGCCCTACAGTTTACATTAAATAATCAAACCAAACAAATGTAAACATTTTACGTCCTTACACTTCGGGTGCAAAGTAATTATTTTACATCCTACCTAACGTCCCCTAACAGTAAAATGATCATAATACGCTATGAAAAGTTTATATACGAATTGAACCGAGCTAATCATCTTTATCTATTAGATCGGTATATTTTCATATAAAAAAAGACTTTCTTTTTATATTAACATCGAGAAATCATACAAGACAACTGCCCACCGTTGCGACATGTATATATATATATATATATATATATATATATATATATATATATATAATCATTCAACTTATACAAAGCAATATGATTCACTAGACACAAAACGAGAAATTTTAAGCCTAAAACAATCGGAACTGAAACACTGAATATCAAAAGTATACTTGCAATCCAAATATCTAAACTAAAGGATAAATAAAATTGAAATAAACTCTTTCCACAAAACTCTTCTTAGCACGGGGGTGGTTTCGAAGGAGTACGAGCTCTACCATTTTCTACGTACCCCGAAAAGAAGGTAGACAAAAATTTATGACCTAGCGAAGTTGGTCGGGACAATAGAAAAATTCCCTACACTAAGGGAGACAAAACACCCCAGAGCACCCGAATATGGGAATAAAAAATAAGCTTGGATATTGATCTTGGCTCCTCTGTAACTAAAGCGGTTCCTTGTAGGCTTGTAGCCGATGCATAGTGATGTGAGTTTTCTCGCACTTAAAATAGATCGTAATATAGTGGTGTAAGTACGAGTATCGTCTCCACAGGGACGGACAAAAGGGAATCAAGAAATAATTAAATTCAGCGATAAAAAAAGAAAATAAAATAAAAGCGTCGTGCGAGATTGGTTGATTTGAAAATTAAACTAATGCGGTTGAGCGAATAAAAAATAAATGTGGTTTCTAATTAATTAATGACGAAGGGAATAAGGATTGATTCCGGGGTAACCAGATTTCTGGCAGATCAGGTCTAATTACATGAAATTGATTTAATTGAGCCTAGCTAATCATTACTAAGTTCTTACCGCTCTCGCGGCGTAGAGTACAATAATTTAGGGGACCAGGCTGATATCTCATGCGATAGGATCCTAAATTATTGCCAAGACGAGCGAGCTTACGGCTCCTTAATCGCTACTAATCTCTTAGCGAACGATTAAGTGTGTGTGAATGTATCCTAGAATAAACTAGATCTCTCTTAATTTATTCTATAAGCAATTGTAATTCTAGCCGCGGTTCCAGGTTACAAAAGATATCAGTTAAATTATTCAAACACAAATTAAATGGCATTCATGCAATTAAACCGACAAGAATCTAGCCATCAATCATGATTAACCCTTCATCAATCCCAAATCCCTAATTAAACTACTCACAATTCATAATTGAAGAATCAACAGAATTGGGATGAATAGAAATAATTGTCATTAATTAAAAAGATGAACTTACAAATAATCCCAGGGTCTTGGAGTAAACAATCGTAAAAACGCAAGTAAATTCGTCCCTAGGCCTCTCCGTAATGTTCGTAACTATAAAAAAGGGTTAGGGAGGCCTTATTTATAGAAAAAGGGGGGAAAATATGAATTCGGGCCGATTTGGGATTCAAGTTTGCGTCACCCGGTGCTACGCACGGCGTGCGTCCCCCCTACGCACGGCCGTGCGTAGCTGGCAGTGGCTACCTTGCTTTTCTCGCCTCAGACGCACGATCGTGCGTTCCCCTACGCACGGCGTGCGTAAAACTTCCGAATTTGACAAAACTTTCTTCATGAAAGTTGTAGATAATGAAGTCTTCTATCCACCCCAATTTGCCGAATGTGATTTGAATCATCCAATCAAGAGATATGATCAAAACGGTGGAAGGTGTCATTCTGAGATCGCAGCAGAGATCATCTGACTTCATCATCTGTTTTCATCTTCTTCCTCTTAGATTCTAGGAATGATGTCTTCATATGATTTGTAGCTCTTGAAGTTGGCTTTCATGTGGACTTTGAATCGTGTTCTTTAGATGCTTATACAAAGAGATATGTTTGAACGATTGACCAAAGGTCATCCTGAATGCCGTTTTCAAGCTTCATTCATCTTCTTTTTGATCCCATAGCCAATCCTAGAGCTCTTTTGTCATCAAATCTTCATCTTAAACCTACCGGTGACCTCCATAGCTCTCAAATCAACACTCAAATGCATCTCGAATCATCCTGATTGCTCCTCAAGTGCCGATTTTGAACTCTAAAATCCTGATTTTGACTCCAAATGACACAAAACTCGAACCAACGCCTGTTAAACATAACTTGAGCTAAAATTGAGACTTGTAACACCTTAAATCTAGGAAAACCATCAAAATCCAATCCCAACACGCATCAAATGCGTGTCTAAATACAGACTTATCACATAGGTTCCTCCTGTATAAAATCAGAAATTCCCACGAAATTAGAAATGATTGCCAAAAATTCAAGCAGCCTTGATTTTTGTGGGCCCACAGGAATTAAAATGAAGTTTCCTTCTTGTTTGGCAATTTTTATGTAGCCGCCTGTTTTATTGAAATTTGAAGATACCGAGATAGGCCCAAATCTCCTTAGTTGCCGGTAGAAGAGGTCAGTTCATGTGAGCTCATAAATATAACTGATAATTTGAGGAGGCTAAAGGGTCAAATTGGCCCTTGAACTAGCTTAAAGGGGTCAATTAGCCCCTTATATAGGAGGTTCTGCCCTACCGTCGCCAATTGGAGCGGTTCCCGGTAGAATTTTTTAATGAAATTTTTTGAGCATCTTCTTCATTTGGTCTAGTTTACTCATACCAAATTTCAGCTAACTATTCAACCGGGAAGGCAGTCAAACGATTTTTTGAAGATAACTGCGCAGTTAAACATCGTAGTACATTTCGGAAAATCATTTGACTGCCTTCCCGGTTGAATTTTTACCTGAAATTTGGTATGGGTAAACTAGACTTAATGAAGAAGATGCTAAAAAATGTTCATCAAAAAATTCCACCGGGAACCGCCTCAATTAGCGACGGTCAGGCAGAACCTCCTATATAAGGGGCTAATTGAACACTTTAAGCTAGTTAAAGGGCCTATTTGACCCTTTAGCCATTTGAGGAGCCAATTCAAGATCGAAGCTAATCCTATGCAATTGACCTCTTGATCTCAAATATTGCAATTTCATTGTTTCTAATTCCAAACTTAAAGATTTTAGATTCCAATTTGGTAGAGTCAAATCCTTCTTCTCCAAAGAAGTGGAATTTTTCAGAGTCTTGAGAAGTGATCGCTGAAGCTGACTAGATAATATCTATATGTGAGATAATATCATTAATCAAAGTGATTTCATTATCTATTGTGGCTCTTGCGGCTGAGAGTTGGGGCGTAGCGTGGGCCTCATGGGTTTTTTCCTTGTCACTCCGAAGTAAATCAGCCCATGTGGGACTAGGGTTTCCAGTTGAGCTACCTAGGTAAGGCCAGTTCTCTGCATCTCTGTTAGCAGTAGAAGCCTTATCAGGCCATGTGAGCGATTTGGGAGTATTAGTCTGGGTCTGACTCGCAGGTTGACCCCCGAGACTGGCTTCCTTTGTAAGTGTCCCTATCGAAGGAGCCCTATCAGCTTCTCCATTTCCGGCTAATATTCCCGCCGGCGGCGGCGCAGGTGATATAGTCAGTGAGGCAGAGCCAGACTTCATCGCGCCCTTGGGTGTCGTCTGCATTTTTTCGAGTGTCGCGGTAGCTTAGGGTGTAATTGATTCCGATTCTCAGGCCGGCGTTGAACCTTTGCAATGGAACAAGGTTAATTGTTACGCGACTTGGAAATCACATCTTAGGGGCAAAAATTATGGGCGGTAAATATGCCGGGCATGAAGTTGTCATTCCCAGATTAAGCTTAACTCCCTCAGATTCAAGAATCCCGTTCAAGTTTCAGAGAAGACAATTTCCAGTTATGACATCTTATGCGATGACGATAAATAAGAGTCAGGGGCAATCTTTGTCTCATGTTGGACTCTTATTGAAAAAGTCGGTCTTCACGCATGATCAACTGTATGTTGTAGTGTCAAGGGTACGTAACAAATCCGAAGGGTTTGAAGATATTGATTTGTGGTGAAGATGGTCAGCCGACTGATCATACCACCAATGTAGTTTACAAGGAAGTTTTTCGGAATGTATAGATTGTGAAACCCTATTTACCATTTACTTTTTCCTACTTATTCCAAGACATACTTACTACCTCTCTCTGAGTTTTCACTATCCCAACTATAATTACAAATTATTATGCATGTTACGTACATCACAATTTTCTTTCGTTTCACACAACCAAACAATGTTTAAAAAAATTGTCGTATCACTATTATTTTTAAATAGCCCACACATCGCGCGGGTGAAAATATAGTGACTTACCAAATTACCATAGTTGATAACTTTATCGATCATTCGTGAAACGTACGAGTTAATTGACTAGCTAGTAAGTAAATTAATGAAAATATACATCATATTATTCATATCCACATAGCTCCATTATGTGAACTTCGAACTAGTCAAA